GATGGGACAAGAGAAAACAGCTTCAAGTTCTGCCAGGGGAGGTTTAGATTGGGTATTAGGGAAAAGTTCTTCCCAGAAAGGGCTGTCAGGCATTGAAACTGGCTGCCCAGGGAGGTGGTAGAGTCACCATCCCTTCAGGATGATGTGTAGATGTGGTGCTGAGGGACAGGGTTTAGTGGTGGTATGAGCAGTGCTGGGTTAACGGTTGGACTTGATGATCTTAAAGGTCTTTTCCAACCTAAAGATTCTGTGTTTCTATTCTACGAATATCCATGCTAAGACAGCAGCTAACACCTGCTCTGGCAGTATGTACTTTCAGCAGTGTTAGACCAGAAGATCAGAAAGTTACTTGGACTGTAAGGGGGTCAGTATGAGGCCATCTTCTCCACTGATGCGCATTACGATAATCAGAGTGAGGAAACAGGTGTCTTACATGTACAAAGACTGTCTAAAATGCTGCTCAAGCTGATGGTAGTGGGAACACACTGTTCACTACAAGGTACCTGTTTTGTTATGGCTCATGCCAACCTGGCAGCTGGAAGCTGCAAACAAGATCAGGTCCCCTGTTTACAAAGCAATATACTCAATAGTCCCCTGTCACAGAGAAAGCAAGTGACTTCCCAGAGTAAACCCTGATCACCCGATTTTCCCACCTCAGTTCCACAGAGAGTTCTCAGTCTCGCCAAGATCAGCATCTACAGCACTGAGCTCTCTTCTATCTACAGTTCAAACAAAAGAGTGTGAAAATGAGATAAAATAACGGTGCAAAATCAAGCCAAATACTTTTCCAACTCAGAGTCTTTCTGGAGAGAAACCTGCACAACAGGAAGGATGTAGTGAATTGTGTAAAACCCAGGAGTCTGGACATGTCCTTTTATCTACTTTTGAGAAAAGATTTCTAAAAGGCAGGAATACACAGAAGCACAACAGTACTTAATATCATCAGCTGCCTGTTTGCCTGACGATTCTCCCACAAGCAAGGCACTCCTGAAGCTGTTCTGGAGGTAGTGAGCCCCCACAATATCCCCATGCTTAGAGGGAAAAGAAAACAGGTAGAAACAGATGCAGCAGTATATAAGGGATTTCAAAAGGGAGCACGTCTTGTACGGCTGCCCATTCTAAAGTCAGCAAATATTACACTTAAAAAGGAATGACTCAACTGTTCTTCAAGGAGTTTGTGAGCCAGCTTTGGCGACTAAATTCAATCACTAAATTGGAGGAGATTAATTTCAGTCTCCGCTGCCACCTCCACGAAAAGATGGATGCTGGCTCACCAACTACCTGTTTTCTGGCAGATCTGGACTGTAGTCCAGAAGCATCCAGGATGACTCCCATCCTGCACCTTCCTAGGACACCAGACCCCCATGGCAGGGGGTCACAAGAGTTTTAATCTTCTCTGGGAAGTCACATCATCTGTGATGGAGTGGAGGGAATAGAGGAGGAAAGAGTCTCCAAAACAGGATCACAGGAGGAAAGAGTTTCCAGAATGTGAATGCTACATATCGCATGAAAACGCAACTGGGTGACAGGCAACATCTTAGTCTCTCTCGAGGGAAGCATGAGGCAGGGCTGAGTTAGCAGTGGCTTTGCCACTGAACAGCAGAATTCCTCAGGCTGTATCTCAGCATCCAACTAGACAACTGATCATCCTTGGTCAGTATAATCTTTCCTTCAGATGAAGGGATATAGAATCATAGAATCACAGAATGGTTTGGGTTGGCAGGGACCTTAAAGATCATCTAGTTCCAACCCCCCTGCCATGGGCAGGGACACCTTGCACTAGACCAGGTTGCTCAAAGCCTCATCCAGCCTGGCCTTGAAGACATCCAGGAATGGGGCATCCACAACATCTCTGGGCAACCTGTCCCAGTGCCTCACCACCCTCTCCATGAAGAACTTCTTCCTGATGTCTAATCTAAACCTCCCTGCTTTCAATTTAAACCCATTACCCCTTGTCCTGTCACTCTCTGCCCTTGTAAAAAGTCCTCTCCCAGCATCCTTGTAGCCCCCTTCAGGTACTGGAAGGCTGCAATGAGGTCTATTCTGGCCCATAAATGCAAATAGTAAAGGAAGACATTTAATTCAACCCATTTGCAAATGGAAGATGTAAAGGTCTGTCAGGCACTGGGCTGTTGTTAAGAGATTTCATTCTGTGGGAAGATGACAGTGAAAAATCCTACATGTGCCCTGCTCTTTTTCAAGGCAGCCTCCCTAACGATCAATCCAAATATTGCAGAATATTTGAATATACTCTCCTAAATTTTAAATTCTCTGCACTATCTCCCTCTCACTAAGACAAAGTCCATACGTAGAAACACGTGTCAAGAAGAACACCAAGATCCTTCTGTTGTTTTAACAGGCTGAACCATTAATTCAAAGGTTGATCTGTCTCCTTAGCAGGACAGTTTTAATTGCTTCAACCGCTTTGTTAGGAAAGATTTTTCGACCCAATTGCCCTGTCAATTGCAAAGGGAGTTATTCACAGAGCTGTTAAAGGTCACAAATGGCTTGTGGTTTCGTAACCTGTTTATCTCATGCGATGGTGGTCAGAATCTATTCAACTTGGAACACAGCCTAATGATTAAATATCAAAAATAATTGATGGGTTCTAAATTAATCCACTTCATGCAGTCCTGAAAGGAATGATCTGTGCTGTGAGTGGACAGATTGGGAAGATAAACTAAGTAGCATTAGATTAAACTTCGTTTAAATAAACTGGCTGTTCCATTGAGACTGGCAGTGATGGAAGGGCAACTGGGCCAAGGAACGTCCACCCAAGAACAGGATCAAAAAAATGAGAGAGTTGTTTAAAGAGGCTCAAAATAAAGAAATAGAGCTTGCAGACCAAGCTAGTGTCTTACCATTGGTAGGCATCTGCAAGTCCTAATCTGTGGAACAAAAAGAAAACCCCTTGTAAGTAGAGGAACAGAGGAGATGCACACAAGCAGCACTTGGCTAGAGGAGAATGCTATGAGAAAAGGGAGGGTCTGATAACTAAACCCAGTTCAAAAAGGAAAGGCAGGAAATTAAGGGGAGGCATTAGCAGTGGCTGTCAGTTCGGGCAATCGGTAGACAACCTTGAACAGGTTCCCAACATGCTTTTGATAATGCAAGGTTTGTTTTGTCAACATACAGGGTTGATTCCAGCTTCCTGCAAAGACTTGTGCATATTCTTAACTTGAAGTATATCAGTAACTCTGTTTGTGAATGTTTGGAGAGTACAGGTCTGAAAATTAAATTTCCAGTGTCATGCAGCCAATCTCATTTCTAAGCGAGTCAAAATCTCTTCACACGCGGCTATGTGGCTGCCCTTCCGTCTTGCACAACCCCCCCACCCCCATGGCTTTAATAATGGGTGCCAACTTCCGAAAAACTACTAAATAAAATACATCTTTCTCTAATTGCCACCAGTGCACCCTCTCCCCTTTTCCTGCCCTGGCAGAGACAGAGTGAAATCGTTCATTTTTTCCCCATTTCTCTGAACACAAACAGAAAACTGTAAGCAAAGAAAGACCACTTCTCTCATCTTCAGTGCACTGCAGCTGCCCCGGACCAGGACTCGAACAGCTATTGTATGAAGCATGCATGAGGAGACAAGAAGCCCGTTCTTTATCTCTCTTAGTTATGCTGGGTCTGCAGGAAGTGTTATTTAAAAGCCTTAATGAAGTATTTGGGCTCAGCGGATCAGATCCTCAGTACTCAAAATTAAGAAAAATGCGTAGAATGGGTGTTTTTTTTCCAGGTCATCTTCAATGTAGCGCTGTACTTCAAGGTCAGTGACCACACACCTCATTTGTAGTTTAAAATACTTCTTATGACTTCTCTGACAAACAGGAAAGTCCACAACCTCCACAAGGACCACTCCTGCAGCCCCACGCCTCGAGGGCTGCGGGCCCTGGATCTCGCTAGCGAAAGTTTCAAGCGAAAAGGCGCAGCAGGCAGTATCGTACTTTGCTTCAGCTGCAGCACGCCTGCCATGGGAGAGCGGCAGGAAGCATGGGGAATAATATCATCATCCTGCACCACAGACCGAGAACCAATGTTCTGGTGATTTTAATTGCCCTGCGCCTTTTGGATCCATTACACTGAAATGGATTTTGCTCTTCTCCACTGACTCGCTGTATCTCTGTGAGCCTGCAGACGATTTAAGCAACAGACTCATTCCCAATGTGCAAATGATGTTACTCTGGGATTAATCCTCCACGAAAATTGCTTTGCACAAGTGTATGGCTGGCACAAATGGACTCATCTGGGTTATGCAAGGGTCTTTTGAACAATCAGACAGGATCCAGGGAGTAATTGTCTGTGGAGAATTACCCCATCTATAACGTCAATTGCTGTTAACTAAACAGCAGCTCTGATGTTCTGACACCGTATTTAGCCTAAAAATACTCAAAGTCACACAACCCAGAAGAAAGCAGCGGGGAGAGAGCTATGACTCAGTACAGGTCCCAGGCACTTCCAGTGAAGCTTCCCACCAAACTGTTAGCAAAAACCGTATTCTCTTAAATGATGTGACTGAGGCAAGCTGCATCACAGCTAGCAGAGCTTCCAACCCAAACTGCAATTCCTCAGTTACACAATGTGATGACAAATATAGCTAAGCACTGACTACGTGACGGCCTCCACCTTCACAATCCACTCTCGGTCACAAAAGCTGCAAAGGAAAGGCTCAAGGATGAAGTGCCTCACACCAGCCCTTCAGAGCTGAGGCAACCTGCTGCCCTTGCCTCCTAACATAAAATAAATCTTCTGTGATGAGCTAAAATGGAGTTTGCATACCTACAACAGAAGCACAAGAACTTCTTCACCAGTTTGCAACCACCTGCTCAGATAAGTATCTCAAAGACAAAAATAAGCTTCTTTTAAATAGCATGAATTGCCCTTCCACGCCTCTGTCTTGCCAACCATTGAGGACTGGTGAAACACTCTTTTGGTCAGGCAAGCCTCCTAGCAGACGGGGGGTTTCTGTACCTCTGTAAACGTGACTGGAGCAAGGGCAGTCGCTCCTCTCTCAAGCTGCCTCCACACAACTCCCCTATTCCTGGTACGAGGAGATCCACAGCTGCAACCTTAAAGGAAAGAAAACTAATTTAAATCACGCTATATAGCCATACAGTGTATGGCAGAAGTACAGCTGACACTGATGGTGGTTGTAAAAAGCTACTGTAATTCTTCCAGGGTCCAGAACACTTGGGTAACCAATGTTGTCAGGTTTGGGCTGGTTTTCTCCTCTTTTATTTGGTAAGCTAGCTTTTCTCACCCCACAGTTGAACTGCCGCTAGAATTAAAGCCAGTGAAGCAACAGTGGCTCATGGTGGGATAGTCACTCTTTTTAGTAGAAGCAATGTTTCATGTTGCCTCAGTTTCACTGGGAAATCACACCTTCAAAGCATGAGACTTGTGGAAGAAGAGTTTACATCTTGCCTCTACCTGCTATTTCAGGATTACATGGGTACTACATTTCATAGAATCACAGAATGGTTTGGGTTGAAAGGGACCTTAAAGATCATCTAGCTCCAACCCCCCTGCCATGGGCAGGGACACTTTCCACTAGACTAGGGTGCTCCCAGCCTCATCCC